CCTCTAGAGACAAAACTTGCTTCTGTGGAAGCCTCTCATGTTTTCTACTCTGGTCCCAGATGTTCAGGATATCATCGTAGTATAACAAAATACCCCAAAATGTAGTGATTTCAAACCACCCACTCATTTTGTATGCCATTTTAGGGGTCCAGAACATGAGAAGAGCTTACCTGAGCAGCCCACCTGAGTAGTTGTGGCTGCTGGACGTCAGCTCAGGAGGGCTGGGTGCCCATGACAATCCACAGCTGATGCAGTCAGCTGGGGGTTCAGCTGTTTACCAGCCACCGGGTGGCTTCTGACCTAGCCTGACACTGCATTGTCGCTTCAGTGGCTCTACGTTTTATCCTCGGGTCGCCGAGGTGAGCTCTGCAAGCCACTAAGGTTGGCTCAGATTCTGGGCAGTAACACAGATCCCCCCCCCCATAAGAGGAGTGTCTGAAAACGTACAGAAATATTTGAAAACCACCACAGTGCGTGCACCAATGAAGCTGCAGAGTGGAGCTCTTCTTCGGCCTTTGCAAAGTGTAGCAACTGCTTGACTGGTGAAGTGGGATGACCAGGAATGACAGCTGTGGAGGAACAGCCAGTCCCCGACAGGTTCACTTCCTCGGGAAATTCTGCCACTCCATTTTTCACCGGTGCACAGAGCACCAGGACTGTACACATTAGAAGCATAGTTATTTAAGTGTCCAATGCTGCTCTCCAGCTATTTTGTGCACAACCTGTATATCAGAAGTGAGAGGGCAGGTAACAAGGAGAAAGGTGTGGTTGGACAGGAGTAAGGTGAGCACCGCAGATGTCAGGGGCTGGCGTGGATGAAATACTGCCAACGGCGGGGGGAGAGAATTTTGTGTAGAGGCACAGCAGGGCCTGAGTCCCACTGTAGCAGCTATGTTGATAACACTGAAGGGAGCTGGGGCAGAACAGGGAGCAGTCACCGGCTAATGGAAAGATCGAGATGATGGGGCGCTGGAATGATGTAGCAGCGACCGAATGGCGAGAAGCGGCCTTTCCTGCGGTATGTTTTGAAGGTAGAATCAAGAAGCAGGGGCCACCGCTAGGGTCTGTTTTGGGCACAGCTTTGCAACTTGGGACTCACATCTTACCTAGCTGTACAGCTGATCGGACTCCAGCAGAAGATAACAGATGCTCTAACCAGCCACAAAATGTAATATGAAAACACATGAACTTACATGCCCCCAAATCACCTGAGTAAAGAATTGTTTTTACACGAGCAAATGCAGAAAGAATCACATTTTGGCTTGACCATGTGCATTCTTTTTCCTTTTTCTTCCTCCTTTCAGTGGCATACTCGGTAAAGTCAACCAGACAAGTTGTTAAGTGCTCAGGAACAATTTTCCTTTTTCTGAGTTAGGATATCTTGAATTCAAAGTGTGCAATCATACACATCTTAATGTCACAGAGAAAAATACACAGCTCTTAAAATATCTAGTTGTTTACTATCATCAAAATTTAACATCAAATTTATTTAATAAGGTAATGAAACCCAGAAATACTAAAATTCTGGATTGTTCTGGGACTTCACTGGTTGGGTTTAATTTTCATGCCAGAGTCTGCAAAGTAGTTGACAATTCTCAAACATTATAGAAACAAGGGCAAATTTATGTAGGAATTTCACAAGAAGGTCATGGCTTTGCCAGACACAGAGGTACATGCCATTATTCCCAGCACTGAGGCAGGAGGACTACTGCAAGTTTGAGGCCAGCCTGAGCTATAGAGTTCAACGTCAACCTGAACTGTAGCACAATCCTGTCTCAAAAAGCCAAGAAAAGTCTCGTGGCTTTAACTGCCATAACTGAAAAAGTGATTTCCAAGTTCAAACTTTCTTGGCTTGACCTGGTGACACCCCTACATCCTTTGCTATGCATTAAGATTTACCTATTTCAAATAAAAATAGTGAAGTATCATAAAACAGATTAAGAATCATTGTTCTTTTGGGACTATAGAAGCGAATGATTAAGTTTGGAGTAAACTTGGTATGATCACCAGAGCCAATACCTACCAGTGCCACCACCGACTCATGATTCTAGAAGGAAAAGAAAATAAATGGTGAGCTGAGTTCTAGAGTGTCTCCTGGCCTTAGACCTCAGGGTTCCAGAGAATACACTAATGGACAAAACTGCAGTGTGCTTGATAATGTTGTAAACAAATTTCAATTGCTTTTTCTGCAGTCAATTCCATCCATCCACCAGTGTGTGTGTGTATGTGTGTGTGTATTTTTTTTAATTCAAATATGAGAGCTAGAAAGGATACTCGAGAAATGAGAATGGCTTTTGGGGTCATACAAACCAGAGTTGTAATTGTCAGAGCTTAAACCAATTCTATTTTTAAGAATTTTAGGAAAAATGGGCAAAGCTAGATATACCAAGAGGTTGTGCTTAGTGTCTAAATATTGTTTTAATTAAAATGATTAAAAAAATAACTGGACATGGTGCTGCATCCCTATACTCCTAGCACTTGAGGCTGAGGCAGAAGGAGCAAGAGTTCAAGGTCACCTTGGGCTACATGGTAAGACCCTGTCTAAAAAAAAAAAAAAAAAAGAAAGAAAAAAGATTAAACATGGGCTGAGCATCCCTGATCTGAAAACCCCAAATCTGGAACGATCCACAAGGGTCATGACAGCATTCAAAAAGTTTCAAACTTTGACAGACTTCAGGATTAGGGATATGTACATGGTCAAGTCTATACAGATATTTCAGAATGCCGAAAATCCCAGAATCTGGAATCTCTTCTGCTCCCAAGCATTTTAGATAAGGTACTCAACCTTTATAATCTAAGTGCAACTTAGGACTGGTGAAAAAAGTAATGGTTTATTTCATGATGAAAAGTAGAATACTGCTACACATACCGGCTAGGTCAGGCTGCAGTTAAAACAGCCCTCTGGTAGGGGGACTGAGGGATAGGGGAAAGGAAAGAAGGGAAAGGAAAAAATGGAAACAGAGTCTTTGTAAATAGGGAGGGGCAGAGGGGCTGAAGACCAGGACATCGGGAGTGCAGGGTGACTGGGCAGGTGGCTTGTGCTTGCATCAGGGAGATGGACAGAGCGAAAATCTTTTTGGTTTTCTCATCTGTGAAACACAAATGGGGAAAATGAGCCCTTGCAGAGCGTTGCCAAGATTTAATGAAACGGTGCAGGTAAAGCAACCAGCACACAGAAGGTGCCAAAGAGATTTTTTGACTGATACTATTATTGCCCTCAGTCTAGATCAAACTAAGAAAAGCTCAATTAAGCGGCACAGTAACAAGAAGCAAGGAATATTTTATTGTCTGCATATTCTCCAAAATCCCCCTCAAAAACACACCCACAAATACCAGAGAACAAAGTTTTCTAAACTCTCTGGGATACACAGGGCATCATATCTTATAGAAACACAGCTAGTATAAAAACAAAGTGTACTAGTTGTCACCCTTTGCTTCTGGGTCAAAAAAGGCTGTAGAGAAAAACACTTTATTTGTACTCTACTACAAATGTGCTGCACAATTAAGCTTCGGCTTACTCAGAGTTATTGTATAGGAAACCGCAGAAATATGGAGGTGGCATTCAGTAATCTGCTCACAATTAACAATTAAGCAATAAACATGAATCAATGCAGCATGTATTACCTATTTGTTAAAACTCACATTGATAACGAGCAGATGGTTTATCGCTAACAGTAACTGGTTCCTTGCATTTTAGGAGACTCCAGATCCACATATGGAAGTAGAAAGTACTTTAAAGAAAACTGATTTTAGAAAATTCCTCCTTGGATCTGAGCTGCTATAGTACACATTACATATCCGGGTTGGGATGCAACAGTTTTAAAAACAGAGATACTAACAAATTGATTTGCTGAGGGAGGGAACAAAGCAGTACGTTCTAAAGCAATACATTCTTTTCTGCTTATATTCTCCAGGGAGCGAGACAGAAATAGGATGTGGCAAACAGCGATTTGCAATACAGTACAGTGAATAATAACTTGTTTTTACGCAATGCTATCACCTGGACTAATAAAGGACAATTTTAAAATGTGTTGATAATGAAGAACCGGCATTTCCTTATTACATATATGAAAGAGCTAAATGTAAGGATCCTCTCTAATATTCTATACTTCTTAATCTCTGATCATACAAACTAGGCTGAAGATTCGGGAAAGGAAAGAACAGGAAACTGTCACTTGAAGAACTATCTTAAGTGACCAGTTCATGAGAAACAGTCAAAATAAGGCGATAACTATGCATCTGTCTGTACCTTCTTTGTATGCCTCATCAGTACAACTGAGAAAATAATTTCTGCCCACTTCTATAAAAAAATACTACCCCTTTTGCTGCCTAATGTGTGACAGAAACAAGGTAAGCCTGGCACATACGTTTTTTAAAAGAAAAGAGATCGTAGGCTCAGGTGGACAGCAGTCTATGTTAAAATATATTTAAAGAGCCAGGGATTTAGCTCAGTGGTGCCACCACCTGTCTCACAAGTGCAAGGACCTGAATTCGACCCCCAGTACAAAAAAAAAAAATTAAGGAAATTCTTCCTTAAATATAAATTTCTCCCTTGACTCATATTAACTCTGTAAATGGCCTAAAACAACTTTTACATTCTTTATGGAACACAGAGTTTTTCATCAAGAATATTTTAAAATAAAAATATTTGAAAGCTATGCACTATTCTCACCAGCTGTGATATTCTACTCAATTCACCACAGACATCAGAGTGTCACATTTTACAGAAATTAAAAGAAAACAAAAACCACAGCTCAGCACTCCTTCACAGGGCAAGGGCTCGATCATATTCTATTTTCTTTTCAGGACTTAAAGTCCTAGGAGAGCACCTTTGTATGGACCAAACCATTAACCGAATGAAAGTTAATATATAAAGTCGAACATTAGACATTATGTTTTAAAAGATATCATTCAATTTGCCTTCCAAATTATGTTACGTAAAGAGTTTGAGAAGAATTGTTGAAGAAAAATGTTTAAGGTAATGTACACAAACAATTTAAGGAGCAAAAAACCCTTCTGGCCTCCTTCTGAAGACAGCTTTTATGCAGATCATTCCAGAATATGGAATTCAGAAGCCAGACTGACTTTCCTTTCCTTTCTTTCCCACTTGTGTCTCACAGTCAAGAACATATTTTAATTTTATTTTAACTGCTGGTCATGAACTCTTCTATCCCTGTAAGCCATGGATAAAGACCAAATTTAGTACTAGTTTCACAATACAGAATGACAACGTTGTCTTAAGATGACCCCAACACAGTGATGCAGGTTTTTTTTTAAATCAATAGCCATTAGTAAGACTAACAAAGATACTGTTCCTATTTTTATATTTGCCCTTTTTTAAAAAGTAGGTCCTTCAACACTCCCATAGCCCTGAAGGAACAGATACATGTGCCATTGTTCAAACAAACAGAGATAGATATTTTAATATTAAAAGATAGGCTCTCCATGCCTTAACCTTTGACTTATCCTAGTACTTGGGTTCAAAGCTCTAAAACAGCAGCTTTTAAAACAACTTTTGCTACTTTTGATGAAAGTGACTGACAAGTTAGGAATTACTGCACAAGATCTGATTGATGATTGCAGCTCTGGCCACCAAGTTTCCGCCTATGAAATGTGGACAACACTCATTCCGACTAAAAGTCAGCATCATTTCAGAGCTCTGGAGTACCTTCCTGAAGAGGATATTAAATTGCCACAATACCGCAGGAGCTCATCTTGGGACTATGAAGAGAACGTGTCTGTTGAGAACGTGTCTGCGTGTTCCATGGAGCACACTGATCATTTCCCATGGCCCTCGGGCTGGCAGCTGGCTTTTCTGAAGGTCGATCTTAGCTGCAGTGAGGAAATGTCAGGTGACTTGGGTGACTCTTGTGTTAACAGCACCATAGAAAAGCATCCTCAGAGCGCACTGGGGGGAAGGAAAGGATGTGTACGGACTTGGTTGCTGCACAAGTTTCATGACTGAAAAGTTTGCTTGTAACACATGGAAAGTTTTCTCCGGAAGGGCAGCCACTGAAATGGACCAAATGCTATGTGTGGACTGTGGCACAACCTGGAGAGACAGCAGGTACGGCGAAGTGAGGGCCACATTCACACACTGGGCAAGGAGGGCAGGCTCTGGTTTCTTCACTCCGTCCCTCCCCCAAATCCTGCTCTGACAACAGGGAGCCTCTGGACCCCGGAAGACCTGCTGGCCTAAGTGGTATGTGTTTGTGCTTGGGACAGTGTTAAGAAAGTTCTAAACTTAAATTTTTTTGTTCATTTTTTTCCCCTCTAAAACTCTCTCCTCACCCACGAGCTCACAGTTCACAAGGAAGTTTCAATGATGCCATTCGACTCCTCTGGAACCGCCACAGACCTTTCCCATGCTGGTTCCCACAGGTGAGTTCCTTTATATTGTTTTCTTTAGAAAAATGTTTTTGAGTGGTCACTGTCCTTCACAGGACAGTGGCCATGGACTACACGGAAAGGTTTCGTCTGGTGGAGGCCACTGGTTGTAAGGTGTAGACGTCAGCAGCTCCCGGTATCAGCGTGGGGAAAATCCAGTTGCCAGACTGCAGCCCACCACCGGCGTCATGTCCCAGATCTGGAGAAACCGAACAGGGAAGGCAGAGTCGGTTAGAGTCGGATGCCAAGCAGGAGTCAGCACTGACAAACTTACTCCTGCCAACCTTGAAACGCTATCAAATGACAAATTTTCTCATTCTCTCCTCTCACTACAAAACCTCCCCGAGGCTGACACTGCGATAAAACAATCCAGTTAGTTCACTGAAACAGGATGAAGGCTTATCCTGTGGTATCTCAATGCCTGAAAGCAGTACCACAGTAATCTTCCACTACAAATTTGTTTCTTTTCTTTTTTTAAAAAAGGCCCATAGGACTGTATTTCATAATGGCACATCTCGAGGGGTTCTAAGTATAAAGTATTTCCTTTCAATCTATTAGTGTTTTCAGAGATTTCACGAAAAAGATGTGTGGTTACTCCTTACAATTAGGACTCTCTCCAGAACTGCAAAAAAGGCCTAGACTCAGGGGCCGGTGGGGAGGTGGCCAGCGCAGCACCCGCAGGGTCTAGGAGGTGCCAGGCGATCTCCAGCTCCTTCCACAGATCAGAAGAGCAGAGGGGAACACCGCCAAGATTCCTGGCACCCAAGTGAAAATTCAGAGGCTCGAGCCTGTCCCTCAGGCTCTGCCCCAGCAACAGGCTGAGTACGAAGGGGAAGGCGGGCCTGCCAGCCCACCCAGCACCACAGTGGAGTCACCTCACCTTTACCACACGGTCCGTCCCGCACGTCACCATCAGTCCCCGGGCAACGTCCATGGACATGTGGGAAATGTTGTGCTTCCCTTCGTGGAAGGTTGCTAGAGAAGTCCGACTAACAGAGAGAGAAGGGGCCGCTGAAACTCACCCCTGGCACAAGGAGCTAACAGATGAGGTTTTTTTCTTTAAGCAACATAAACATCATAAATGCTTACGACAAATTGATTCCAAAAATGCAGCTACAGTTTTGAAGCTATCATTAAAGGATAAAAGAAAGCAGTGTTTTATAAGATACTCAATCTAAGTTATTGGGAATTGAACCCACACTCCATCTCTTTATTTATTTATTTTTTTCGAGCCAGGGTCTTGCTAAGTCACTAAGTTGTCCAGGCTGGGCTCAAACTTGTGTTCCTCCTGCCTCAGCCTTCCAGAGTGCTGGGATGATAAGCATGTACCACCAAGCCTGGCAGATTTTCACTTTTTATTAGAAAAGCTGACATATAAAAACACAAGGCTCCAGAATTTAGCTCAGTGGCATCAAACCTGCCTTGCAAGCCCAAGGTCCTGAGTTTGAACCCTGGTACCAAAAGATAAAACAAAACAAAAAAACCACAAGGCTTTCCCGGGCGTGGTGGCTCATGCTTATAATCCTACCACTTGGAAGGTGAGGCAGGAGGATCACTGCAAATTCAAGACCACCCTGACGTACAAAGCAAGATTGTCTCAAACAAACAAACAAACAAAAACCCACACAAGGCTTTTAAGTAGAAGTGCACAGAATGAGATCGTATGGCATGGGCAAAACATTCATCAGAAAGCTACAGGGTCCCCAAAGTCTCCCTGCCAGCCACAGCAGCAGCCTCTGCCCGGAACTGGCACTGATGCTACTCTGCAGCCCAAGAGTCCTCCCTCCCATCCCCAGTTCATTAACTGACACAGTGGAGATGCACTGGCCAGGGTATGCGGACCTGCCTGCGTCAGGGCAGGATGCGATGTACGCACAGACATGTCTCATACACAAAGCACCACGTAAGAGCAGACTCCTAGGTCAAAGATCTAGAAGAAAGAGCATGGTCTCTGGAGTGCTCCCTACAAATGTGTGGACAAGTGTAGTGGTGGTAGATGTTTTTGCAGACAGTCGGCTCAACCACTGCCTCCCACACACGGTGGACTTGTCCCTGCCTGTTACCCCTTGGGATGTGGGGGCTCAAGAATGTCCCATCAGCTCCAATGGGTCCCGGCATTCTTCCCAGCGTCCAAGAAAAGCCTGTCCCAGCCAGAAGGGTGGCCTGAGAACAACAGCGCTGGTCCTAAGTCACAACTTGAGGACCGGATCTTCTCTCTGGAAATGTTTCGTGAAATTCAGAAGGGACAAACGCATCGGAAAAAATCTACCTATATCAGTTCTTGGGCTATTTACATTTAAGAAATTCTTTTTTTAAATTACTATTTATTTTTAAGAAACACTTTAGACAGAGGAAGACACGAGAAGACCAAGACATGCAAGCACTCACTCTTCCTCTTTTATGGAGTCGTAACATGAGTCGCACACTCGGACCTGGAACTCGAAGCCCATGACGGGGTAGCTGGAGCGCTTGCTGCTACACTTGCCACACACGGCCAGCCCGCACTTCCGGCAGTGATGCTTCCAGGCGACGGGGGCAGGGGGGGAAACAGGGTTTAGCCTTTGCTTTAATGCACACGGCCTCCCTTTAAAGTTGGAGGACGGGAGTGGGGAAGATGCACCTTGAGTTACAGTCACCCCAATTCAATGGGTTCTTAACACTCAGATAATTTCGACACTAATCTTGTTTTATTGGTCAAACACTGCCCTTTCTTCCTCCATATTACTGGTCTACCTATTAGCAAGATTAAAACAAGTTCAAGTTCATTTAGGAGCTGAATCGTTGTAGATTTCAGGAAGGAAAATCTGCTTCGTTCAAAGAAAAGTTTTAAAATAAGCTGTACATGTAACATGCCTTCCTTCACTAAGAAAACAGTGTTATGCCTTGTTACATATATAGGTACCTCCCAAAGCCTCATGTGCTTGTAGGTGGGGCTTCTGGGAGAAACTGGATTCATCTACTAATGGTTGAGCATAGTTCTTGGTGTGGGTGATGGATTTACCAAGGAGGGAAGACCCACCCTGGGCATGGGTAGCTTTCAACCTAGATGGAAAGGCAAACAAGGAAGTCTCGTCTGTTCCTTTCTGCCTGCTGTACCATGAATGGTTTCATCTCTGGGGAACCAGTCAACTACGGACTGAAAGAAACCTCTACAAATCATGAGTGAAAGTAAATCTTTCTTCCTTTAACTTGTGGGTATCAGGTATTTTGTCCCAGCAATGAGAGAGTAACTAAAACAAATAACAGCCGTAAGTTTTGTATTTTTAATTTCCCAAACTGTAATTCAGGAAATGGCCTCAAGAACATCCTAAAGCAATCCAATTATTATTACCGATTCTGACATATTCTTTACCAGTAGAAGTTAGTGACCAGCACCTTTTCTTTCTCTTCTTCTACTATTCATTAATGTGTGAGAGTATAATTTCCTTCATGTTTCCCTTAAAAGTAAGGGCTCCTTCACCCACTGGCTGCAACGGACTATTTACCACTAGACTCAGCCAGTGACAGGACTGAGGTGCTATTTCAGAGCATTAGAGTGTTATAAATAATAATTAATAATAATTCCTGCATTGGCTGCCAGTCTCATGTTAGACCTTACTGTACAGTAGCTGTGTGAATAAACTCCAAGTTTATTAACACACACAAATTTTAGGCTAATCCCTCAGAGCTGCACCTGTAATAATAGGGGATAAAAGCAGCGTCCTCCTTCATTTACCTATATACATTCATGTTCACCCTGCTAAGGGGCTGCCTCCAGGCTGCTATAGAAATACATTTTGTCATAGAACTTCAGTATTACATGAAGCGTGAGGTATCTGTAGGCAGGGAGGGTATTTTCTTTGATTTAAATAATAAAAAATAGTACTCAAAACATACTTAATAAAAGCATTCCAAGTATACTTTTACCAGAACCGTTTGGCATACTCCAAAATCAATAGGGTCAGAGCACTGCACTGAGGACTAAATGGTACTTTCTGTCTGTAACAACACACGGTATATACTTTATGCCCTAATTCATTCTAGTTTTATACTTGGCTGGTATGAAATACTGACTCTAACGAGCAACAGTTTACACCGAAAAGACTGTTTAAGGAATTAAAAGCTGGTTCTCAGGATCTCCCATGGATCCCCCATTTCCCGTCAGGAGCCGCCAGAGAGAACACTCAGGCAACAAGTCTCAGTGGTCCTAGGAAGTGGGGAGCTCACTGGCAGTCACAGAATGACAATGACATTAAAAAACAAAAAACAAAAAAAAGGGAATTTGCAGAATTTGAAAAGATGGAGAGATTTTTAAAATAAGGGTCAGATGAATCAGAAACACAATCACTCCAGTAATGATTTGTTGGCTACTCACCTGTCTCAAGCCCAGGGTCTTTGTGTCCCACATCTGCTTTATGTTCCAGAAAAAGGGCTGCTCACATTTCTGACAGGAATCACTTTCCAACCACTGAGGAGCCTGGGAGAGCAGGAAGTTAAAGCCAGCATGAGCACATCTGTATGTTTTACACTGGTGTTTCACAAAAGAAGGCGGGAGGAATTCTGTAACTTGCTGGGGTTACTACTTCACTTTCCTTTCACAGTGTATTTTAACCTGTTCTTGCAATATTTTATGTTTGTGCTTTGCATAATTATTACAATTTCAGTATTGTTTACAGGGTTACTTAATTTGAAATCTGTAGATGACAGGGAATAACTCAATTTTTATTGTGAGCTCTTAAGGGTCATCTTTGTTTCTTTTTAATAGTCAAGTTTTGGAAATCTATATCCAGTTAACTAAAATTTCATTTCTTTCAGTCTGGTAAATACCACCTGGAAAGGCTGGCGGGGTCTCAGGTGACTAACAGGAGATCTGACAGGTGCCACACCCTAGTTAGTTCCTGGGGTGCAGCAGTCAGTCCGGCGAGCCCCGCAGCTTCCTGCAGCCTCCCTGCACAGGGCACTCTGGGATTCCTCCCCGACACTGGCCTCAGTGATCTATCTCCTGGTCTCATTCATCTCCACATAGCCATGGCCCGCCAGGCATTTTTGTTGAAACAAGAATCAAAGTGTCAAATTTACTTTATTAAGAACTTAGAAAATGCTTATCTAAACAAAACAAGGATCAAGAGTACTCCTTTAAAAGACTTATTTATAAAAGGAAAGATGGGCATAATAAATACTGTAGGAAATAGTTTTGTATAAATTAATCCAAGCAAAGATCATGGATAAATATTTGTTTTCTGAAACTCCCAAGAAAAATGCATCTTCTAACAGGACGCAATGATGACAGAATCAAAGAATTTCCAAATGACACTGACACTTAGGAAATATGCACTAGAGGGTGATTTACGGACACTCTGCAAGTTCTGATTTAAAGAATGGTACCCCTGGTTCTTTATCTTGCTTCCTATTGCATCCAAACCTTGGGCATCCCTGTTTCTTACTTCAGATATGTCAGTAGAAATATTTCTACATATGACAGCCACTAGAAAGGTCAGGGGTGCGGGGGTAAGACATTCCTAAATAGACTAAAGCAGAAGATAGGCTAAAAGACAGAAGACAGTCTCTTTAAATAGCAGGGAACTGGTGGAAATGAGATGAGAGCAAAGAAAGACACATGTACCTAGGTAAGGAAGATCCTCACTCTGACAGAGAATTACTTCAATTTCCATGGTCTGCAGAGCAGGGGATGTAGAGGCTGGCAGGGCCTGGGACACTGTGTGGGAACAATGTCCCTCAGGAAGATGTGGTGGGCTGTGCTGCTGCCAACGACAGGGGACGCTTACAGCTACCTTCCAGCAGCCCCAGGGGCCACAGTGCTGGACCCCAGCAGACATCACCAGGGCTCCAATGCAAACAGAATCATGAATCAGTCTGTTCCATACTAACAGCAGGAAACTCTGTGCTCAGTTTACCGTTCCAAAATGTTGAGTCTAAGGAGAGCCCAGCCCTTCAGGCTTGGGATGCAGTTCAGGGGCAGGGCACTCATCTAGAAGTTGCAAAGCCTAGGTTTAATCTCCACCACCACAGAACATCAAACCGAAAAAAGAACTCTGCTTTACGAACTTCCTTCCACATATTCCTCAATGCTCCAGCCATCACTCTTTCAGCTATAGTTAATATGCTGAATTTTCTACTTTCCTGGACCATACACTTTCTATTAAACATCACTTCGTAATAAATTGTTTTAAAAAAACTAACTGTAGTTATCTGGAGTTCAGGAATCTGACCCTGAACTAAAACAGGAGGAAGAGTAAACATTTTGAATTTGCAGAGGAGTGGGGAAGAATGAAAACAAAGAGAAATCCCTGAATAAAATGTCTGCATTTTTCTCCCTTTAGCCCCTCATTCATTGGCCTTTTTGCTTTTATTTTTTTGTGGTGCAGGGGATCAAAGCCAGGGCCTTGTAAACGTTACGCAAGCTCTGTGCCCGAGTTACACCCTCAGCTCTTATTGGCCTGTTTTGATCTACACAGCTGTTGGTTCACAGCAGATCACAGTGTGTCCTAAATGGGACTAAGGCGGGGAGAACTGGAGGGAGGAAAAACTGTGGGTCCAAATGAAAAAAAAAAACTTAAAAACCAGACAAAATCATATTAGCATGCAGCACACAAGGATTTGCAGTCAGAAAGATGAAACTGCATCATGAAAAAATGAGTGTAATATATCATATTGAGGTATGGGTGTTGAAATGGTTACCTCTAGAAGGGGGTGGTATTGAAGAATCGTGTTCCAATTAGCTGGGATACCCTTTCTGCCTGTCCTGGCAGTGTCAGTCAAGTAAGAAACACATCAATGGATTTCTTAGCCCCTTAAGATGCTTTCAAGTGACTCCACTTCAAGAAAGGGTATTTTTAAATATACAGACAAGTCATCTTTAAATTCCCAACTCCTTTCTAATAGCCTCACTGAGCAGTTATAAGAGCTCAAAATCAGGAAAAGATCTCTTATACTCAAATCTGGCTCTGCCACTTCCCACCTCCTTGCCTTGAGGCGTTATTTACCTTCTCCATGCCTCAGTTTCCTCATCACTAACACAACGGAAGCACACACCTCCTAAGAAGTGGTTTGAGCCAGGCACGGTGAGGCTTGCCTGTAACCCAGCAACCCAGGCCGCCAACACAGGAGGATTATCCTGAGTTCAAGGCCAGCCTAAACCATGTAAAGGAGACCCTGTCTCAAAAAACCAAAACAAACAAACAAATAAAAAAAGAAAAATGTTTTGAAAAGTGCCTGGCAGTTGGTAAGTGCCACAGGCAGTTTGTTTTTTCCTGCAGAGTCTTTTTTTTTTCTGGTCCTAGGGATCGAACTCAGGTCCTTGCACTTGTGAGACAGCGGGGCAGAACCACTGATCTAAATCCCACCCAGTCCTGTTTTTTTCCTCCAGTGCTGGAGATGGAACCCATAATCTTCTGCATGCAAAGCAAATGCTCTATCACTGAGCTGTACCCCATCCTACAAAATTTACTTCACTAAATCTCCTCACAACCCTAGGAAATACAGGCAACATTATCCCCATTTTATAGGTACTTTTGGGGCTCAGAAACTGTCTATGCGCAGCCAATTACTAGGTAGAGGGAGGAAGAGACCCGGGCACCCAGGCTGTGGTCCAGCAGGCTCTGCTCCACCTCTGAACAGGTCTTGTTCACTGCACCACATGGCTCTGCGACCATGACTGCAGTGTGACAGTCAGCAGACCCGAGCTCTTGCCCTGGGAAGGATAAAAGTTTAACAAAGAATAATATTCTACTGAGCTAGAGAGCAGAAGGGCTCAAGGAAGGACAAATACGCTTGAAAGAAACTGAGGTCAAGTAAAATAAGTATCAGGAACAGGAATATATTTTGGAATATATTTTAATATAAAAATGTTAACCATTTCTTTTACTACTCAATAGTTTGGAGTTGAACTAAACTATCATAAACCATTCTGCTCTGTGCTTATTAAGGAGAAAAAGGCTGGGACTGAGACAAGCAAAAGAGAAATTCATCAAGCAACTCTTTCATTTTCTGAATCAGTTTCCAACTAATGTGCATGAATATGGCCAGTCATTCCATTTCCATATTACCACGAACTGCTGTGTTTGCCTACCCTCACTAATGTAGCAGACACTATTCAATCTGTAAATTGCTAGTTCTAAAAACAAGTTCTCTTAATAGACCCACTCTCTGAATACTGTTTCTTGCTCATTTGCACATTGTGCCTGTTTTTACCAGTGACTTAGAAATGCCAAGCAAGAGCCGTGGAGCTGGAGAACATGGGGTCAATCCTCCCTGTCTCTGGTTAAGGAAGTCCTAGAAATCATACAGAACCTCAATTCAGAGTCAGAACTTTACAGATGACAGCTGTTTTCCTTTCTACTACATTTACTCAGCCAGAAAAAAAACAAAACAAAACAAAAACCTGCCAAAACTAATGCATCTTTTTGATGCCACTTCTCTACCTCTTCCACAGATGACTAAAAGGAAGTGATTCACCCGCACAGGAAGCACCTTGACTGATGAGACTATTTTTCCTGCCCCCAGATGTGCAAACTCAGTTCACCCTTATGTAACCTGAAAGGAAGCATCCTCCTCCTTCTCCTCTCTTGGAACATGAAACTAGTAGCTGATAAATATAAAATACAAGTAGATGTTTGCAAAGAAAGTATAAGTCTGTAATCTTGAGCCAGTGCTAAACATGGTTAAAAATGACTTACTTTATTTTTAAGAAATCAAAAAAGAGAACTTATTTCCTGAAGATTACTAAATACATCTAGCCATCAGAATGTCCCTGCATGATGAACTGCATTTTATTATTTGTACGGTAGTCTACTTTCTTCACTATATTACCAGTTTCTTGTGGGCAACCATCTTACATATACAACCCAGTAGCCATAAAGTCTGGAAGTGAGCAATGTCACTATTTTTTAACAGACTATTCTTTGATTATTTCTTCTGGAACTTGCTAAAAATGAAGGTTTGTTGAATGAATATCAGACTCACAAATACACAAAGGAAATGCAAAGTGGACACACACACACACACACACACACACACAACAAAGGGAACAGAGGTCTGGAATAATGCATAGTACCCGCTGCCACACCACGCAGGTGTGGCACTGACTGACTTCTTTTTGTGGTACCGGAGCCTGCATCCAAGGCTTCACTCAACTAGGCCTGCACTTTACCGCTGAGCTACATCACCAGCCCTTTTTATTTTCTACCTTGAGATAAGAGTTGCACTGGGTGGCACAGGCTGTTCTTGAATGTGGAAACTCCTGCCCCCACTCCCAGAAGCTGGGATTACAGGCTTGCACCACCACAGCAAGCTCCACTAAACCATTTATTATGTTATTTTCACCTAAGTCTCCAGACTGTATGGCCACCCTGTAGGTGCTTGATGTTTCTTAAAGTACGGGTCATTAACTCTCATCTCTAAATCATCTCTAGAATCAATGTTTCAGCTACCAACATCATAGGTTATAAGAGGACATTGAGGAGACAGTGCTGGTTCTGGCAGAGCAAATGGAAATCCTGCCCAGAAACCCGATGATGACATGTATAAATAGCCCTGAGAATGTACTGTATACATCCTGGCACCAGAAGGTCTCCTTTCGGGAAATTTGCCTGAAATAAGTAAGAATCACAGAATAACAAGGTCAAGCATATTTACTGCAGCACTACTCAGAAAAGACAGCTTGTGTAATCTATACAGTGTCACCAAAGAAACAGAAATTCAATAATTTCACTTTATAGACGAGGGAACGAGCACTCAGAGAAATTAAGGCATTATCTAAACAAGGACTCAGAAGCAGGTAGTGGCCCAAGTTACAACTCAGATTTCCTGAAAAGAACACCATGACCACACTAACTCAGTGGAACAGAACTCAGTGGAAAACAAAGGGGGTTGAGGGAGAGGAAGCGGGGGGGACCTCTTCCCAGAAAACTAGTGCCTCGCTACTACTTGCTGACAGCTCTGGTGGCCCTCAGGGCTTCCCTAGAGAAATGCGGTGGGGCCCCCAGGGTGCTTAAGAGGCCTCCACACAGCCCCAGGGCCCAGGCTGGCGGCTGTCAGTGCACTTATCAAGGCTGAGAATCAGACTCGGTGCTGTCCAGATGCACATGGTGCCTGTCTTCGGGTCTCCCATGGGGAGGACGTGTGTACAATGAGACACAGGCCTAGTCAGACAACAAAGGAGCGGGTTCTCAGGGTCTCTCTTCATCAGCCTTGCCCTGCTCTGGCCTCTTACCTCCTCTCTACTCACGTCCATGTTCCACACTGCAATTCCACCATCGGAGGAGCAGGAGACCAGCTGCCTTGTGAGCTGAAGGTAACACAGTGACTGCACCTTGTCACTGCAAATGGCACACAAAAGTCACAGGGCTCAGTGCAGGGAAACACAGAAACTCTTCATTTAGCCTTCAATCTCTTCCCTCCTTCAAGTCAGCAGGTGACATTTTACCCCTGAATATTTGCTATGGTGAACTGATTTTACCATAACTTCACTTGGCATCCCACAGCTTACTTACACAATCACACTTTCTCTAGTAGAAACAGTACTGCTGTCAGATCTGTGATTCAGAACTCTGAGACAGAGACAGAAAACAGACTATGGTTTTCTAAACCAATCTCCATGATTTCTCTTTCGGATGCACAAAATGTTATCTGCTTATTCAGAAACAAAGAAGGGACAGGGGTGTAACTTTCCTACTGCAACACAGTTCATATGAATATGTAGGCACCATGAAGACCACAAGGATGCACTGGTGGGTAATATAAATCTAGCCCCTTTCTGCAGGCTTCTCAAACCATTCTTGTAGATGATGCCCAGGAAAAAAAAAAAAAACCCCAGTCCTCTCAACTTGTGTACCTAAGCTTTCCTTGGCTCAGTTTCAACTTGATTCTGATTACAGTAAACAGCTACCACCTGATCAACTACATGGAGGGAAGGAAAAGAGGGTTGAAGGGGTAACTCACTCCTACTCCCTTCAAGATTGGAAGGATGGCAAGACCTTAAGTACTACAAGGTGAGACATTCAGCGAGTAAGATTCGGACAAACTGTGCATTACTTCTTAACGAAATGCATTTTAGAATTTAAAAAAAAAAGATTAGGCATCCAGTTCAAAACAGCTTAGTACATTACGCACCTTCTCTGGGGCCAAAGTCCTCACCCACAGTCTCTAACCCACACTGCCCTAAGCACATGTTACAGATGGTGACTCCACTACATGAAAATGTGGCAGCTGCTCTTTGGACCAAGGAGGAAGAAAACCTGTACTGTTTTGTTTCATTTTGGCTGCTGAATACATTCAGGATCCATAAAAGGCCATTAAAGGTAGACTTAGCCTTATGAAGCTGTTGTGTTAAAAGACAAGAGCTGGGCAAAGAGAAAGTCTGGCCTGAAATACTAATGCTGCCTCCTGGCTTCTCACACACTCAGGTTCCTCCCCTGCCCCACCAAAAGTCACGCACTGGTGGCCCTGAAGCAAGAGCGTCCGGCCTTTCCTGCCTCCGATGTCCCACATGATGATGCTGTTGTCCGATGCTCCTGAGAAGAGTAACCGCTGAATAGGGTCCCACCAGAGGCAGGCAACACCACCTGGGGATGTGAGAGAGAGGGTGGGTTAAATACAACTCTGCATCAGGAAACACACAGCTGACAGCTGAAGTGTGAACCAGGACTCACTGGACCTTTAAAATCATTCTCCCGAGTCACAGAGAGGACCTAGGATAACCTTTATCCAAAGCTGTATGGCTAGGGTTTTCAACTGTACTTCAGGCAACTCAATATGTGCAATGATTTATAAAGACAGTTTTGCTTGTTCTGTATTAATAAACTATTAAGTAGCTATATGTGAAATGTTAGTTCAGAAAACGCTACTGGAGAAAAAAGTTCCTGCTAATAATACTCTGAGAAAATTTGGTGGAGTTTACTGTGTTCATTTCATACAAGATGAAAATCTAGGTTATTCCACGTCTTGGGGACTTTGTAGGCATTTTATCCTAAGGTGTCTATAATTAAGAAAAGCAAATGTCTCAGAAAAAAAGCCTGCAGGTAAACCACCCAAAGAATTTATGTTAAGAATCCAAGGCTTACATTTCCCACTCCATCTTGGCTAGCTTATCAAATCTGACACTCTGGGAAATCTTTTTTTCTACAAATTTCTCTTTCAATGGACCTTTGCATTGTTCATTGGTTATTATCTGCCCAGGGAAAAATTCTTTTCTTTTGCAATAAAAAACTCT